GAGACTGTCCACGGGGACAGGACTGTCTCTGAGACTGTCCACGGGGACAGGACTGTCTCTGAGACTGTCCACGGGGACAGGACTGTCTCTGAGACATGAGGGATGTCTCTGGTGGCTTGACCTAAACATTGAGTTCCAACCTGAAGCTTTTTCATGTGACATACAGATTCCAGACCAGGTCCCAGAGAAAACTCTTTGACCCAAGAACTTCCCTCATCCTGGAGATCTCCTCCAGGGACTCCCAGATGTCCCCAGGCCAACTCAGACACAGTCTGTCCAACAAGGCTCAAGCAGCTGGTGTCTATTCCCTGCTGTCATTGAGCAAGACATAGGGGACACCTAGACAAGTCTCCATCCAGTCCATCACAGGGACAGTCTGGACAGGTCTCCAGTCCATCACAGGGACAGATGTCTAAACCCCAGCCAGGCTGAGAACCTGAGACCTCTCTGCTGTGAGACAACAGCTCCAGCCACTGCACCACCCTGCCTGGTGGATATTGAACTAAAACCAGCAGGTTTTATTTTGAAACAAAAAGACGTTTTTAACTCTCTTCAGCTCTGATTCATTTCATCTTCTGGTCCTCAGTCCTAAGACCACAGGAGAGGTTAGACCAGCAGGTTCCTTTCTAGAGCATTGTCCAGACTGGAGAGATGTTCCTGCAGGGCAACATCCCCACCWTGTTGGTCCAGCAACCTTCTTACATCTGCCACCAACATGTGGACCCCAGGCTAGGTCCCCTAGAACACACCTGCCTCTGCTCACACATCCATTGCTGTTAGGTTTGAGAGGGAGAGATAGAAAAGCTTGGAAAGGCAGAAGAAAGTTTGAGACAAACCCAACATGAGGTTTAAGGGTGAATTGGACCACCACATRTAATTTAAACTGGTAGAAGCTGAAGGAACAAACTTTCACACAAAGATCTGACTTTGTTACAAAAAGCTGTCAGCAGCAGGACTTGTTACAGACCGGTCTCAGCTAATTCAGTCCATCTTCTGTCCCTCAGCTCCATAAATGTTTCTGACTGGACCGTGATATTTGGTCATCTGAATCTGAATGGATCAAGCCCCTCTGAGATGTCCTTCAGTGTGATGAAAATCATCATGAGCAACCAGACAGAGCCCAACATRGTGGTTCTCCAGCTGTCAACCAAACCCACCCTGAGCAACTACATCCAGCCCATCTGTCTGGACTTCCGAAGAAACTTCTCTGAAGGATCCATCTGCTGGACTGTTGGTTGGAGCTCTGATCAAGCACCAGGTGAGTCCAAAATGCAGAGACCCATACAATAATCCTTGATGTCTCAGATTAAACACAAGAACCAAAGCAAATCTCAGTCATACAGTAATAACTGCTCTCATTCCAACTTCTGACAAACCAGTTCTGAAGCAGTACCAGACCTCGATGGTGAACTGTGGCAACACATCACAACCAGGAAGTATCTGTACCCAACAGGTGACCCTGGGGCAGGTGAGTGACGACAACCATTCATCCACATGTCCTGATGCATCTCTATAATCCAAGTAGAAACATGTTGAGTGGGTCCTCTGGACGGGTTCTTCTATAATGAAACGTTTCGTCTCTCCTCCAAAASATGGAGTTTCAGGTGAACTCAGCCTGATGAGCACTGCCTCCACATGGTGACAAACAGGTTAAATGATGAACATCAATGTTTGTTCACTTCTTAAAGACGACCATCAGCCTAACAATAGTTAGTGCCCTGATTATCCCTATTGCTCACAGGGTCATGAGTCAGTTCTTGCAATAACGGCAAGAGTGGGACGACTGGACACAGAGGATTACCCACTGTGATTAAAACTGACATGGTTCCTAACAAAGGCCTCTCAGGCTAAACACTAACTGGAATAGTTTCCAGTGAGAMTTGGACTCCACCAAGGCTGTCCTTTGTCACCGATAATGTTCATAACTTTTKTGGACAGAATTTCTAGGCACAGCCGAGGTGTTGAGGGGATCCTTTTTGGTGACCTTAGGATCACATCTCTGCTTTTTGTGGATGATGTGGTCCTGTTGGCTTCATCAGATCCTGATCTCCAGCTCTCACTGGAGTGGTTCACAGCTGAGTGTGAAGCAGCCAGGATGAGGATCAGTGCCTCCAAATCCCAGACCATGGTCTTGAGCCAGAAAAGGGTAGGATGCTTTCTCTGGGTCGGGGAGGAGGTCCTGCCCCAAGTGGAGGAGTTTAAGTATCTCAGGGTCTTGTTCACGAATGATYGAAGAATGTATAGTAGTGATTGTTCCAACATCATCAAACTGTAACTCAGCTGTTGATGTTAAACTGAGTGACTTTAAGGAAGCGTCTCAGTGACTTTATTCTCTGAGACAAACCTCTCAGCACTGGACTAAGCTCTGTGGTTTATAATTTCTAAGTGGTTCAGTAGTAGAAGACTAGACTTCCTGTTTCATACAGACGTATCACGTCTCAGTCCTGGTGAAGGGTTGGGTCAGATGAGAGGTGAAACAAGTCAAGCTGTCTTCTGATGGACCACTCAGGACTGTTGWTCTTGGATGTCTGAGACTTTACACCAAACATTATTTGAAGCATCTTCTCTGTTTGCTCAGGGTGACTCCGGAAATCCCTTAATGTGTGAAAGTGTCGGGGCCTGGTTCCAGGTGGTCGTGGTCCCAGACATCAGTGCGTCCATCAGAGGACGGGATGCTCAGATGGTCTTTACTAAATTGAACCATTTTGAGAGATTCCTGAATACAGCACTGGGAGGGTTCTTGTCTCCACCTTCCATCAACACATTGTCCAACACCAACAGCATRGTCACCAGCCAACCCTCCAACCCAGCTGTCAACATGACAACTGCAGGAAGCTCACCTTCATTCTTCTCCTTCTACCTGTTCGTCCACCTTCTCACCTGCATTTCATGTGTCCAAGCCTTCATARAAACAGGTTCCTGTGGTCTGATGTCCATGAAGATGAAATGTTTGAACTCTGTCAGCTGAACTCTTGTCTCTGGCTGAGGTTAAACTCAGATTTGAAACCTCAGGTCCCACCCTGAAGACATTTAGTACAACTGGACCAGGTCCCATCCTGAGGACATTTACTGGACCAGGTCCCATCCTGAGGACATTTACTGGACCAGGTCCCATCCTGAGGACATTTACTGGACCAGGTCCCATCCTGAGGACATTTACAGGACCAGGTCCCATCCTGAGGACATTTACTGGACCAGGTCCCATCCTGAGGACATTTACAGGACCAGGTCCCATCCTGAGGACATTTACTGGACCAGGTCCCATCCTGAGGACATTTACAGGACCAGGTCCCATCCTGAGGACATTTACTGGACCAGGTCCCATCCTGAGGACATTTACAGGACCAGGTCCCATCCTGAGGACATTTACTGGACCAGGTCCCATCCTGAGGACATTTACAGGACCAGGTCCCATCCTGAGGACATTTACTGGACCAGGTCCCATCCTGAGGACATTTACAGGACCAGGTCCCACCCTGAAGACATTTATTACAACCAGACCAGGTCCCATCC